CCCTCAGGGGTGTCCGACATACGGACAAAATCATCCGCAAACAGCATTCCTGACACCGACGTTTCCCCTACTTTTACTCCCTTCCGGACTGCCTCTACGACTATACCCCGTGCGCTTCTATGGAATATGCATGTGTGCGTGCGTGTGTTGTCTGCTANGTGCGCTTCTATGGAATATGCATGTGTGCGTGCGTGTGTTGTCTGCTATGTGTCTCAATTGCGATGTGCCGTGTGTGCGTGCGTGCGTTGTCTGTTGTGTCTCAATCGCGATGTGTTTCTTGCCTGAACTACTGCTGTAGCGGCAGCGGTCACGCTTTCCAGCCGACCAAGCCGACCAATCAATGTAGTAAGAAAACGTCAGGCTTCAGCGGGATGAGCCGATGAAATACAACGCGAGCACTCTTTTTTCTCTCTATCTATAGGGAGGGTGATCGAGTTGCACGACACAGCAGTGTCCTGCTGCTAGAGTAAGGATAAGACTTGTGTGTGCTTGATCGATGACAAGGGCGAGTCTGTGTGTGCTTGTCCTCCCTCATTGCGGGCGCGAGCTCGCCTCCAGCACAGCGCCGCACACTGGCACGTGCTATGCATGTCAACCATGCTGGATCGGTCTCGCTTTCATAGCGTGACGCGTGCGTCTCGCATACAGTCTAGACTGCAGCGATCAGTCGCTCCACGGGGTATCGCACGCGCGTGTGCATGTATGTTGCCAAACGGAACAATTGTGCTGGAATACGTGTTGCCCGGCCATTCATTGTTGACTTAGGGCCGTTTTAAACGGACCGACTTTTTGTCAAAATTTTTGAACGTGTCAAAAAAATGGAACCTGTATGTAGGCGTTTGTCCATTGTTTTCAAAAATATTTGGAACGAAGTTGGGCGCGAAAACTTTGCTCCACTTCGTTCCAACTTTTTGACAACCCTCTCAAAGTATTTGGAGCACTTTCCATAGTACTCTTGCAGAGGCACGCGAGGGCTGCTGCGTCTGCACCACGAGTGCCCCTCACCGTAGAAAGTCAGCTAGGGTTGTGTGTGAGTCATCTGTCGCTGTCGCTTTTGCTATCGTCGCTGTTGCCAACGTTGACGATGCTGTNCTGTCGCTGTCGCTATTGCTATCGTCGCTGTTGCCAACGTTGACGATGCTGTCTGCTGTTGCTGTGTCGTCCGAAAAACGGCGGTCCGCCATGATGGCTTGCAGTTGTTGCTTCGCGTCCGCCGCTTTGTTTTTTCCTTTTCCCGGGGGGGTAGGAGCAGTGGTTGCCACCCCTCGCCGGCGGCCTGCTCCACCCTCGCTCTGAGTGTTGGTGGCGGCAGCGCCTCCCGTGGTAACATGAGTGTTCCCCGAGATGCCAGGCAGCAGCACTATCTTGCTGGAGAGCAAGCCTCCACCGCCTACGGCGGCACCGAGAGAGCCCGTCTGCTGGAATTTCGCCGGGGTTTTGGTCTGCCGGCCACGCAGGGTGGTCGTGATATCCATGTCGGTGTCCATGATGTCGTGTTTTCCGCGGTTTGTGTTGTGTCGTGTGTGTTGTCTCGAAGTGAGCGCTACTACTCACGGACGGCGTCATTTTTTTTTACACAAGTTGCACATGTCCACGTCACACGTTTAAAATGACTGCACACAGGTTCCAAGTTTTTGAAAGACAAAAAAAAAATGTCGAAAATTTTGACAAAAAAAGTCGGTTCAGAGTGCAACCCAGCTGCCCAAACACATCACGATCGAAAAAGAAACGGTACCGCTTTCAGCTTAGGGTTGCATCTGCAGATCGCCCTCCGTCGCCCTCACTTGGTCCAGTAGAGTCTCTGACGTGCCATTTTGGCTAAAGTAGCGAAAAGGCAATCGCGAGACAGTCTCCTCAGGTAGCAACTGCATGTACCTGCCCAATTTCAGTGGTCAAGTGACCCAGCGAAATAATGTAAGCATAGGCGATCCTTGTGCGTGTAATTTTCACACTGCAATGCGATACCAATATAGAAGCTAAATACTACACGCTTAAATAAAATCATCACCGTACGTGTCGTCCATTACGGTACAGGAAGCGCCGTTCGGGCAATGCTCGCGGATGGTGGCCTCGTCCCACCCGTCATCCGCAACGACCACATTTTTTGTTGGCCGCCTTCTTGGCACTTTCCAAGACGAGAGGGCACCCTGAGGCCGTGCAGGAATGCCTGCCCGCCAACGGAACCACCACCCTGCCAACGTCGGATACCGCGCGTGTGTGCCGTAAAAAGACGGCTAATTACAAAGCGAAGAATACGGAGAAAGACGGCATTCAGAACGTGTCGGAAATGAGAAGGGCGCAAAGACCAAAGACTAAGCGCGCATATTCTTACAACAGATGACTCTTGCGGGACTACCGAGATAAGCGGACGGCTCACAAGCAACCGAGACAACAACCAACAGCGAACCAAAACAAACAGGAAATCAAGTCGAAAAACACGTTCATACCGCAAACGTTCTGCTTGCCTTTCGAGCACCCCCATTTGGGAAGTCGTGCCCTGATACTCCAAGAGGTTTCACTTCCGAATTCGATTTGCATCCTGGACAGATCATCCTGACTCCCTTCGCCCCGCCGGGGGTTGTCACCTGAAAAGAAATCAACACAGGGGGAGAGGGCTCGTTACGTCAGGCCTTGTTCCGATGCTCGTTTCTGCTCAGGCGGTGTCCCTTGTCTGAGGTGAGAGGGCTAATCACTGACAGAGACTCTTGAGTGCGGCGGCGGCAGGTCTCATCAAGAGCAAAACTTCCTACCAACAAAACAGAGTTCGGCGCTTTCTGTCAGAACTTCTGAAGGTTCCCGTAATGCAAACTTCAAACAAGAGTTGTGGGCTTGCCGCAGCGGAAGGGAGGGGGGCATACCGACCAACAACGTCGACATTGGCATGAGCCGATAGATCATGAGCGTGCTCAACACTGCAATCCGTGACAACCAAAATGCACTATTATCAACAAAAAACTAGTCACAACAACAGTTTGAATGTGCGACGACTTTTTGTGTTTGTTTTTCATCTTTCAGCACGCACCTTCGGCACGCAGGCGCAACATCTTACAAAGGCCAAAAGGGTCGGGTACCGTCATCGGCTCCTTCGCTCATTCATGCACTTGCCTGGATAGCTGGAATGCCGACCAATTCTTCGAAGAAGACCACCTCGTGCACGTGGAGAGCGAACACAACTTGTGTCGTCGCGAAAACGGCCATGGCCGGCTCCTTCAAAAGCACATCAATGATATCTCCCTTCTCGACCCGGGTACTCATCGCTGGTGTCACTTTCGCCGCTTTCATCGCCGCAGCGGCGCGCTTCTCCGGGCTGTCTGCGCGCCGGCATATCGGGGCGTCAGGGAAACGTCGATAAAACGCTACCGCTACACACTTGGGCGGCAGATGCCGCTCCTTCATCCACTGTGGTGGAGTCAGCGTGCCGTTGCCGGCTTTCTTGGGGAGAGTGTCCAAGACCGTCCTCGCTTGTTTCGCGATGGCAGTTTGTAACTCGACATTCATCCATCGCTCCCGATCTCCCTCGTTTGCCTCTTCCTCCGGCGCTTCTTCTCCGTCGAAGCACTCTTCATCTTCGCNTCCTTTGCCTCTTCCTCCGGCGCTTCTTCTCCGTCGACGCACTCTTCACTTTCGTCCATGGGTTCTTCCTCCGCGTATCTACTGGATGCCGACTACGAGGCGCCCACGCCGCAAGGGTCACCGGCGCCCACGCCACGTAGGTCATCGGCTGAAGATCCGGCACCAGCTGTAACCGTCTGTCGTGTAGTCTAGAAACTTGACCAGAATTACAACATGATGAAAAATCCTAGGCGCCCTCGCCGCCGCCGACGTCGCCGCCCCTCGACCTTCAGATATACCACCCGACAGTGTTGCTGCTACTTCTGCTCCCGCTGCGTGGGGGACTCCAGTTCCAGCGGATGCTGTTGTTGCTGCTGCTGCGGCTGCGGCTGCTACTAGTGAGCTCATGTATGGATTCTGGGAGCTACCACGTCTTGAACTCGGCTCTTTCCCACTCACGCCTCTGTTGCCCACTGTGCCGTGGCTATCTTACTCGCCGCTCGAGCCTCTCCTCCGATTGATCGCAATGAGCGCAGAAGTGATCAAATCCATAAGGATTCAGGTCGAGACTAACTGCGACGAGATCCTCATGTGTCCCGCGTTCTGATGCCTTCCACACATAGGGCCCGGAACGCCTGCTGTGTGGACGCTTCGTATCTATCCGACCTACCTCTGTCGGCCCTTCCGTAGTTTCCGCGACCTCGTGAAATAGTTCATGCTGAAGACATGACGATCGAGCCTGGGCTGACGATCGGCCGCCCCACTGCCGCCGCCGTTTGGCGCTTTGCCTCTCGCCTCTAANTCCTCATGTGTCCCGCGTTCTGATGCCTTCCACACATAGGGCCCGGAACGCCTGCTGTGTGGACGCTTCGTATCTATCCGACCTACCTCTGTCGGCCCTTCCGTAGTTTCCGCGACCTCGTGAAATAGTTCATGCTGAAGACATGACGATCGAGCCTGGGCTGACGATCGGCCGCCCCACTGCCGCCGCCGTTTGGCGCTTTGCCTCTCGCCTCTAAGAGATGCGGTGTGGTGTTGTGAAAAGTGCGATGTAATCGCGCCGCTCTTGTTCTTGGGGCAAAAAAATCTCACATTCCAGACAGTGTGCCCCTTTTGAAAGAAGGAAAGGTGGAAATTTGCCCCAACGTACACTAAATCCATATGATTGATGCACAGTCGGCTTCCTGGTACGTACGTAGGATGCACAGTAGGGGGGCCCGGCCGGGGAGAGCAGGCAAGGCGAGCTGGAGGGGGGTCCGTGGCTGGCCTATACCCCGCTAGACTCGTAGGACCCCAGCCGTCAGGAACAAAAAGAAATAAAAGACAAGAATTACAGTCTCCCGAAAAGAGAGTACATCGAGCGGCACACGAGCGATACTGTGATGCATGTGTATGTTGTAGATAACAGTACGCACACCGACACCACACCGAACAAACGTCCATAAGGCCTTGCTCTCGTCCGTGCTCATAGAGCGTATCACCCGCCTCTTGATGTTTTTACAGCAGGAGTAAGGGCCGTTTGATACATTCCAATTTTTTGTTGCAAACTTTCCAAAACTTTGGCGCCAAAAATTTGGAACCGAACGGCTCATTTTATTGTATTTTATTTCATTTCTTTTAATTTTTGTCTTCCCTTCAAATCAGCGCTCACAGCACTGGTGCCGTTTACTCCAACCCGTCGTCACACAGAAGAGCCCCTCTCTACCCTCCACCCTCCCCTCCTGCGGTACTTTACCTTCGATTTTTAATGCGAGAATAGTTCAGCAATCTCTTCCCTCTGTGTACACACGAACTAGCGCTATCCACCAGGCCAGGAGCGGAAGCGAGGAAAAAACTCACTTTGAAAAAGAAGCTCGCTTCCACCGGGATTCGAACCACTGACCTGGCCTCATGAAGGTACAGGGGGCATCAACTTCACCACCGGGGCGACCGGTATTTTTTGTGCAATGCTGCAATTGCTGTTCCAAATCTTCCAAATGTATCTCACCGCTTTGCCTGGTGGCAAGCGACACACACACACTCAACACCATCGCCATCAACAACTCCACCAGCAAGGCGGCATGGCAGACAACCAACCACCACGGGCTAGTGGTCGCCGGGTGGCTGCTGCCCCGGCCAGATATAGTCTAGTCTAGAGAGCAGTGCGATCTCGGCGCTGCTGCAGGTGAAGGTTCGAGTGCGCGCGCAAAGCTCCCAGGCATCTCTGGCGCAGCGTCGGTGCCACGCACCCCTCAGCATCCATCTCGGCCCAACGCGATTGCCACCACAGGGGCTAGGCCATCAGGCCCTTCGAAGATGGGGCCAACCCTGGAAGAGGTTATTATGATGGACGAGTCGGTCGGCGGCATTGGTGCCGGCGACGTTAATGTCGGCGACAACGGCAGCAGTGACGAATCTTCCTTCGTCACGGATCGCCCTTCCGGCAACAACGGCGCGGCAACCAGAGGCTCGGCGCACACGGCGCTGGATGTACCGGTACTCCCTGCTGTGATGGACAAGGGTGAAACGCCGGTGAGGCCGAAATCTCCATCCCCAACAGTGCAACAGTTGGCGTCGGTCCAGAAGACGCAGAGGTCCCTCGCACGCAACAAGAACAAGCCGTGCAGAGACTGGCCTGTCTCCCTCCTAATATGGGCCGTTTTATACATTCCAAAATATCAAAATATATTCCAAGTTTCCCAACTCTTTGGAACTTGTACAGAGAGAGACGTTCCTCAACAATTATTCAAAAAATTTGGGACGAACCTGGGCGCCAAAATTTGGAACCAGTTTAGCTTCCAAATTTCCAATTATATTCCAAATAAATTGAAGCATCACGACAGACCCGCAGCTCAAGGCCCCCACAGGACCAACCACAAGGGAGAAGCAGCAGCAGAGGGTGCTTGGATAGCGGCAGGGCCATGGCGGACCGCAGGAAACGCGGGGCGCCTCTTGGTTCGGCGTGTGCTTGTCGCCCGAGCCAACGATTGAGGCCTGCATCAGGTCGCCAGGAGCTGGTCCGGTAGATGAAAGCAGCTGCTGCTGTGGTGGTGCTGGTGCTGAGTGAGGCGGCAGTGGTCACAACTGTAGCTGTTCATGGTAACGCTAAGAAGACGCGGGCGCCTATCCACGAGCCACGGCGCCTGGTTTGGGAGGATCACGCTGCTGACCTCCAGAAACGGAAGCTCTTCCGGAGGATGTATCGCATGAGGAACCGGTGTTCAACAAACTGGCTGGGTTGGTGGAACCGATCCTCGAACGGAACGACTACTTCGCAATTGAGAATAGAGAGAGGGAGGGAAAGAGCGAGGGGATCGGTGGGCGGGGAGACAGAGTGTGTAATCTACGTACGAGGCGCAGAACTCATCATGCCGTGGTGGTTTTTCCGTCCTGCCTGGGGTGCTGCTGCTGAAGTGTAGCGTTGCAGTGTAAAAAAAGTGCCGAAACCGAATCATCCCGCACTTGCACACACCAGAAGGACGGTGACCTGCAGTATCTGACTTTGGGGTAGGGAAATAGTTTCACCGCCCAGCACTTGCTTGTCGTCTGCTGTTGGGCTAACACTTGCTTTTTTTGTACTTCATGCAAACCAGGAAAACGGTATGAAGGCGGTGCTGTGCCCACGAAGATCCGACTAGCTATCGGCTTGCGGATGATGGCCGGCGCTTCGTATCTTGATGTCGCCGTGTTGTTCGGCGTGTCCAAGGAGACGTTCTTCAGCATCTTGCGGCAGGTGGCGGATGCCATCAACAGCGCAGCAGAGGTTGGGCCGTTCTTTTTTCTGCAGAGCGAGGATGAGTGCACCCGGCAGGCGGCAGAATGGGAGGTGCGGAAATGGTACAAGGATACTACAGTCTTGTACATAGGAGCGATCTATTTTAATAGCGTGGTTTTACAGGGGTACATATGATAGTAGCATGCATGCATGTACGATCTACATAGATAGGTTGTCTGCTACAGCATTAGGGTAGATTGCATGTTTGCGTGCCAGGTAGGCGTGATGTTGAACTAACGCGTGATCGTATTTGGTGGCGGCTTTGTTTTATTTGTTCCAATATATACTTCGAATTAGACTACCACAGCATGCGAGCAGACGTGCGAACATGGCCAGAAACAGGCAAAAAGGCGAAAATGGACAGTGTTGTGCTGTGGCTTATGCCTATCGGGTATGGTGTCGGAAGAGCAGTTCAATTTCCGCCTACACCTCCTACCATAGGCTACAGGCCTCCTGACGTGTATGGTACATGAGCAAGAAACCATTTGCTGCAGAGCCTGGCCCAAAACAAATTACCCTGCTCTGTTTCGCATGGATGCATGCATGCAAGTCGAGATTCCGTGCGGCACATTACCCTGCTCTTTCTGGACGCACCGACGAAGAAGTGAGCGGGAAGCATTTGTGACAGCACGGGAAAACCTCTGTATTTTGTGTCTAAGTGTTGGCTTGCTGCATGATAACGAAATGAGCTCCAGGCTGCTGGGAACATCGGCCTCGACGAACAAACGCACCGTATTGATTGGCATGTCTAGGAGAGGGCTCGTCTGCAAATGCTCGCACACGCCCGTACAGTTTTTCCGGGAGTCCGATCGGCTTGCCGCTGCCCGAAAACCTCCCAAAAGGGATCTAACAGCGCCTCTGTTGTGTCCCTCCCCGCGTGTCATGTCTGTCCTCAGCTAAAAAGCACGGGCGGCGCCTTTCAAGGTGTGGTAGCTGCGGGCGATGGCCTCTTTGTCAAGACTCTTGCTCGCACTGCCACCAACACGCCGAACGCTCTCTCATATTATTCTGGCAGCAAGTGCGGCTACGGGATGAACGTGCAGGCGACATGCGATTCCAACTACCGCTTTTGCAGCATGTCCTGCATTGCGCCCGGCTCGACCAATGACTGGACGGCATGGAACCGTTCGGATCTACCCACAGCGGTAAACAACCTGCCGCCAGGCTTGTACATGCTCGGAGCCGCGGCTTACCCCCTGAGTGACCACTTGCTGACTCCGTACCCAGCGAAAGGACTGTCACGGGACAAAGACGCGTTCAACTTTTATCTGAGCCAACTCAGAATCAGGATCGAGTAAGCGTTCGGCATCCTCGTCAGACAATGGGGCATCCTGTGGAAGCCGTTGCGTTTTTCATTCGCTGGGCGCTGCTACCTCATCACGGCGCTCTTCCGCCTCCACAACTTTCTCCGGGACGAGCAAGTGACGCCAATCCAACGATCGGAAGAAGGCGCGGAGGTGTTCCAGGTACGCCCCCACCTGCTCGGCGACGCCTTGCCGGGAACTTTCCGCACGACCACCAAGGTCGTGCAGAAGCCGACAAGGTCAGGCGACGTCCCCACGCGCATGGGGATCACGATGATGCTGGACAACAAGCGCCAGTACCGCCCCAACTACAACTTGGTGCGCAACGCAACGAGCAAGACGTAAGGGATCGAAAGTGGACGTGCTGCGGTGTAGGGTGGGTCCCGAGGACGAAGTATGGAGATGATGGACGAGACCAGGCAAATGCGACGGTGGTAGCCTTTGAGGAGCTTGGGCCGTGGCCGGGGGCGGGGGATGTGGACAATGGTGGTCGGGGATGCAACGCCTTTGGTGGGGTAGTGCGTGAGGGGGGGGGGCGGGGTGAAGGGAAGGGAAGGCGCACGGGCGGGTGAGAAGGCGTTTTTTTTCGGGGGGAGAGGGCATTGGCGCCAAATTCAACTTCGCCGCTACCACGACGTGGAGACATTTTTGCGGAAGTCGTGTTTTTTGGGTTACAAAGATCATACACCGAGGGAGTGCCTGAGTGGTAGATCCTTACTTCTAAATTCCCAGTATCAGCCGGTGGCTACGAGCCGAGAGTGTATCTTTTGATAGTAAGGCTTACACCATGAGACTACTAAGTCAGCGCTGACTTGTCTAATGGTTTAACATGTGGCGATAAAGGATTCACGCACGGGTTCATAACCTAACTGGTCTCTTTCCCAAGCACCATTAAGTTCTTTTCAGGCAGCGTCTGGCGAGGGGTCCGTCCCTGGAGATCTCTACTCACGAACCCAAAACTGTGATCCAGCCGGGTGCCAATGAGCTCTGAGCATATCGTTTGTATAATAATGTTACACCATCAGACGCCAAATGGTCAGCCTTCATCGAAGATCACTGTCGACTCGGCAACACACAGGCCACACAGAGTCCACACAGCACGCAGCACGCAGCACGGAGAGGAGGAGGGGCTTGTGGGATATGGAGGCCACACCCGCGCCATTGTTGCTGCTGCTGCTGCTGCTGCTGCCGCTGCTGCTGCTGTTCGACCATCCAGTTAACGGCACGGAAGCCGTAGCAAAATAATAGCTTGCCGCCGAAGCGGAAACTTTATTGTTCTTGGTCACCAGACGCAAACCCAACGCACAGCAACTAGAGAGGAAAGGCTAGCACTGCGCACCACTCATCATTTCTATTATCCTCATTTCGACAAGAATCTCTGCCTGTGGTGTGAGTGTGTTTTTTTTTTAGCATCAACCGCGCTAACCGGCTGACCAATGAAAAGTTTCAGTGCGGCTGAAAACACAAAACACTTCTATCTGCCATGAACGGGGACCCCGTGAGGGGGCAGTATGGGGAAGGCTAAACTATCCTTCGGATCAAAGACAGAAACAGCAGCAACATTACATCCCTGCTGTTGGTGGTGGTTTTTGTTATGTGGCGGGTGCGGAAGGACTGCTGCGCAAATAGAAAGAGATGCGCTTTCTCTTTGCCGTTCGTTGGGATTTCGCGGACATGCACCGCAGCAGGACGGCAAGGGATCTTCATCTCATTGCACGCATCGCAAGCGCGGACTACATCTATAGACTACAGCACGACGTACTGCATTGTCCTGCTGTAGCCATGTATTGTTTTGTTTTTCTCCCATCATTGGACTCTGTCGTCTGCCCCTCTGACCCCTATCCTCCACTTCTACCAGCTAAACGACCCAACCGGGGTCACATAGGAGAGGGGGCTTGGACCCCCTCCTGCGGTTCCTGCCTGAGATATTTTTTTTGCGAGAAAGGTACAGCTCCCTCGGGACTTATTCATAGTATGAAATCGATCAAGTTTCCTAACAACGAGCTTTGCAGCTATGTTTTTGTTTTTCTTCTCCTCCCATCATTGGACTCAGTCGTCTGCCCTCTGGCCCCTATCCTCCACTTGTACCAGCTAGACGACCCAACCGGGGTCACATAGGAGGGGGGGGTTGGGCGCCCTCCTGCGGTTCCTGCCTGAGATATATTTATCGCGAGAAGAATACAGCAATCCCTTCCCTCCCGTTAGTAGTAAACTTGATCGATTTCATCTTAAGTCGCGAGGGAAGGGATTCCCTCGCGACTTATGAGGCCGATCAAGTTTACTAACGACGAGCTTTGCAGCGCGTTGCTTCCAACGGAGACCAGGATTTAATTAGTGAGAAAACACTCACCCTGTCGGGACATGAATCCATGACCTGGCCCTTAGCAGGCTGCGAGGCTACCCACCAGACCACCGGGGCGACCGTGTGGTGGCGTGGTGCGGCATGACTGAGCAAAGTGACAACGAGAGCCAGACTCTCTTATTCGCCGTTGGGAATTATGCCCGGGTGGCGACGACATCGAGTTTTTTTACACCATACAAGCAAGCGCGGATCCCATCGATCTCGTGGCAGCAGCACCTCACTCTACATGATTGCTGCTACAATCACCGATGTTGCTGCTGCCCTTGACTACTGCTGGCCTCCCTTACTTTTGCGAGGGGTGGTGTACTTGCTGATATGCTACATGGAGGCAGATCATTCTGCTGCTGCTGCTGCTGCTGCTGTATGTAGTAGTAGGTGCTGACGCATTGCCACAAATACAGCATCGACAGGGGACAAAGGGACACCTATTCAAGGTAAAAAAAAGCTTGAAAGTTGTCCTCCTGCTTCCTGTCCATCTACTGTAGAAATCCGTTTGTGAATCGGCGTCGTGGTCGTCGAGATATCTACAGTTTCCCGGAGAGAGAGCCGCGAGAGGAGGGGAAGAGGGCCTGGAAGTTTCATGTTTTTCTTTCTTTCCAGGCACTGCTGTGTACCACCAGTAAAACATCGCCGCTTTATGGCACTTTACCGCGGCGGAAACACTCAATCCATACATACTTTTCATCTCCCAAGCCACCACCTGAAATGAACTTATTGTCGTCGGTTACTGCCAAACGGACTTTGAGATTCGCTTGTGTGTCGAAATTGTTTGAGATACCTTTTAGAACGAGCGATCGAACCAGGAAGATAGAAGAAGGCGAACCGGTCGAGAGGGCCAAAACAGCTCGAATGGTCAAACACTTAATTTAGGCGCTCGAGATCGGCCTTTGAGACATGTTTGAGCAAGCGTGGGGGAATCGGAACAAGAGAGCGACAAAATGAGTTTGATCGGAGATAGTGGAGCTTAGCTTTAGATGAAAGTGAGATAAATTCTTTGCTGACTGAGGAAACATGAAGATTCATTTCTCTGAAACTCATTGAGCCAGGGGTGCGGAAAGCCCGCTGGCCAACAACCTGAGATTCCTTTTTTCCAAAATGTGGATGACAGGTGTAGAAGTGCTGTTCTCACCGTTGTTGTTGCACATACGAAAGTAGGGCCAAGATATGATCCAAACGGAGGATCTTACTGATGGTTGATCAGCAAGACACCCGACAATGGATGCGTCCCTCTTGGCGCCACCTATGGAGCTTGGGAATCCGAGACCCTCGAGCTTGGTCTCCCTCGCCCCTTCGGCGGCACTCTCTCTTTTGTCTCTCTCTTCTGAGACCCTCTCCTCTCTAAATCTCAACGAAGAGAACTGTCAGCCCTCAGTAGTGGGTAAAGACTACTGCGACCTGGGCCTCCCCCCAACGAAGTAGGCCTATCTGTGTCCTTAGGAAGGTTTATATAGTAGTCTGGGTGGAGAAGTGAGGTATATTTTTCCGAAATTCATTCAGCGAGTTGGCCGGAGAGCCCTACCCACCAACTTAATATTTCTCATATTCCGACACTGTTTCAATAATGTAGATTAGGAGGACGGAAGCGACTATTGTTTCAGCACTTCGGAGAAGGCGAGAGACTGATTTTTCCGAAATGGTTCCAAAGATCAATACAAGAGCGACAGCTAGACGGCGAAGCGGTTAAGACGCGAGCAAAGGCATCGTCGCACATTTGTTGTGTCTGCTGCTGCGCGCGGACGGGGGTGAGCTTGGGCGAGGGGGCATGATTCGCGACAGGCCCTATCGAGGCATACGTGACGTTTTGCGAAACGGCCGCCGTTGCTCGACATCGGTCTGTTGATTCTGCCAAGCTGACCAGCGATGAGGACAGAAAGACGGCAAACCAGTGAAGACGAGAAATAGCACGCATGGTCGAACAGGGCCGCACGCTTGTATTGTGACGTACGCTACTGCACACGGATGCCTACCAAACTCGGCGACTAATTATGATTTGGGATGGCCGGGATCGGCTCGTTTTTAGAAACGGTGCGGCAAGGGCAGGGGATCGGAAAAAGGGCGACATGTATGAAGTAGGTCGGAGAGACTGAAGCTCAGACACGAAACAAGAGAAAAAACAAATACGAAGTATGTGATGACACTAGATCCTGTTCGTCGGTTCGAACGCCCCGTCCGCCGTCCGGATGGAAAACAGACAAGGTCTCTTGTCGGCCATTTAGTCTTTGGAGGTAAAAACTCCTCAAACTCCGGATGGTGTGTGAGTTTTCGTCCTATATACTATTACGACGACAGCCCTCCCATTTTTCGTGGCGAGACGTGTACTGCTGTCCGGTACTATATTTTTTCGTGCAACTATGCATACAACCATCCAGGTGCACACAGGAGGGGGGCTTTTTTCTTCGTTCAAATTGTTTTCGCTCCCCACCTTCCTGCGGTGCGTGGGTCATGGTGTATTTGCGATCCTCCACCGAACCATACTCGAGACACCGCGAGGTTTGCACCAAAAAATACAGTAGCTCGAGATCAGCTGTTGAGATCGGGTTGGGCAACAGGTGGGGATAGAATGAGAGTCCGGGATGCTGTTTGATCGGACAAGCTCAATGAAGCTGTGAAGCTTCAGAATATAGACTAGCGTCAGAACTGGCCAAAGGGTCCTCGACACAGCACACTTAAAGCATCCAAAATCTGACGTGACTGCCTATTCCCGGAAATCGTGTTCCGTAGTACATGGACGCTGAGTTACAGATGAACATCTGTTCGTTGATGTTGCCGGTGTCATCCAAAATCACATAGCATTCCACTTCATAAAAATAATATGCCGGTCTCTGCTCATCCGTGCATATTCTGGTCCAACCATTTTCAGCTGAACAGGGCATCTTGGGTGTTTGCAGGTTTAACCTCCGACCAAAACGGCACACAATTAAGAACCAGTACAGCTAACCCTACCCGTCAACATGTCAACAAAATGACCGCCACTACGGAAAAACACCAGAGCAAATGATTGGAAAAAATAAAAAGTCCAGCGTACTCCTACTTCGTACACAAGAAGGGTTCTCCACGTCTTTAGGCTACAGTTGGCGCCCGCAATTAAGAAACGCTTATTTCAGGTCTAGCCTCGAATTCTTATTGTGGGCCATAAACTCAGCGTATGTCGTTCAGTTTCGTATTTCAAGATCCTAATTTTTTCGTGCAGCCAAATCCTCCTGAATTTCTGAATCGACAATTTCTTATTTCCCTGCTTGCATACTACACAACGTTCCAAATAACAAACGATTTGCACTGCTTTCCTCGACCCCCGTACTCAACCCCGATTCTCACTACCGACGGCTGCACGTATGGCCACTCCCTAGAAGCGAAAAGTATCCAGCGGCAGCGTCTCGCTATCGCTACAGGGTCCTGTACCCCCCTCATGAGTGAGGGCTGAAACTAAACAAATGCATAAACACCGCATGATGCCTCACCCGCACGCTGAAGTGCCAACAACACTATCCCGTCATCATGTTGCAAGCTCCGTGAGGCGAACATTGGGGGTTGTCGCCCTTTTGCGCCTCCCGCTCCCTTCCTTTGGGTCTACCTCCAGGAGAAACCACGCCCCAATTGCGGCGTCTTCGTCCGTGCTGTATGACTCCAACGGCATCTTCATGCTACGCGTGCTTTCGTTACGGTGCAGGATGACGCGGTAGTCGTACTCCTGCCGCGAAGCGGGGTGAGATCTGCGACTAATTAACCCAACCCGAGTTTCACGAGAACCCCACGCTTCACTATCGACTGATTGAGCGGTCGCCGCTGTGTTTCTTATTGAGAGATTTCTTATTGTGTGACCCAGATTGAGCTACGTTTCTTAACCCTATTTTCTTTTTCTTCGTGAAAAAGTGAGCCTCAATTTCTTAACGAAATATTTCTTAACTGCGGGCGCCAACTGAAAACGAACGAAAAGCAGTCACTCGTTGCACCAAAGCTTTTTTGTACATAGAATCAGTACGGACACTGCAAGCAAAAGGTACCGGGTAGGCCGAAATTCAAGGAGTCTCCCAAAGTTGCTTACTCGTGAAAATCCTTAACGCTTGATACATGCGAGCATGACAATAGTTTTACATCGTTCGACAAAGCTCAAAAGCAACCTCGTGAGCACAGTAGCATTCACGGCCTGCAGCAGCGGCAGCAGCAAAAGCCATTGACGCCGAAGTTACGGAGTTTCCAACTCCGAACGCACTTCGTTTGGTGCAAGCCTGCGGAATGCCAACCCAGTATATTCCCTCCCACTCTACCGCGTTCCCTGAGCATGTGTGCCTCTCAGGAGTGTCATAATGACTGAAAAGCTGACAACCTGACTCGACCAATAACACGACGCGCGTCTTGTTCCCGTGCCGTCAGTCACGTTCAGCCATCATTCTGTCATGCTTGATCAAATTCAACACATGAACAAAACAAAACAAAAGTGGATGTAGCAGCAACGGCGGGACACCAGGTTGTGGGTAGTCCCATGCATAGAAAGCACATTTCGCCAGTCTTAGAATGGACGTCACACAACATGTCTACCACTGTGTGATTAGTTGTCTCCATCGAAGTAAACTTGACGATCGAGAAAGTGCCAAAGAATGGTTGGCCTTTACTGGCGGCAAGCAGTCCGTTGTGCATGCATGCGTGCGTCCTGGCACAACGATGTCAATATATATATACTACTACCGCGTCAGCACCACACATGCGAACAAACCAGAGAGCAGGCGCATATCCCGATAAAAACACAGCTAAATGGGAGTGTACACAGCAAGACGAGTCTCCAGATAAAGCAACACTACATAAATCCACACAATTGTTGGCAAGGCTCTCTACCCTTGCTTTCAACATGGCCATGGCAGATAGACTCACTCTCTTCCGAAGTCTACCCATCATTACACACACTCCTCGCTCCTCGAGAGGCCAAGTTGACAGCCGACCCGCATTCTCCCTGAAAATCAACGCGTGATCTTGCCGCTTCACCGCACTACCACCTACCGTGATCATTGCTTGCGGAGCGAAAACGTCAAAGATGCCCTGCGCGATGTTGTTCAAGTGCAGGTCAAACTATACAACACCAAGACTGCTGACATCAAGCATGCGATCACCAACGTCACACTTGATACGCAATGTCTGTTTCATTGGGAAAACATTACACCACGCCTTGAAGTGCAACATCTGTTTCAATGGGGAAACATCACACCACGCATCACACTGCAAAACACACTTTTAGTCACTCGCACACTCAAGTCACCCGCGACGAATGCCTTTAGCAAGGCCACGCGAAAAAGTGATCGCAAATATAAGAGCACAAAATATGCAAGCAGACTGACAGCGGTCTTGTAGTGGATTCTCGATGCAAACTAGATACGGTTGCGTTTGAACAACTTCACTACAAGTTCGTTCCCGAAAACCACGCTAAACCGCAATACCCGCCCGCAACATGGAGCCGCTCAATAACAATGCAGCCAGCAAACCAACAAGAACCTTACATCGAGAAATCTCATTATGGAATATCACAACGGTGTACCTGAAGTAAGACGGGACAGAGCCATGGAATAAACGCAAGGCTAGGTAATACAGGCTGACACATGCGAACATGACATCTTGTATTTAAGGCCCTTCCGTTGAGGTATTCCAAGCCTGACCACACTTTGATAAAGAGCCACACACTCACTCAACGGTGCTACAGCATGCTGACTTGGGCGACCACGACGACACCTCGATCGAGTCGATGTCTTCAAACTCCCATGACTCTTATACTCCATGCCATAACGATTCGAAACAAATCGACGTGAATAACCCTCCAAGGCCAGAGCTGAGCGATCAGGTCTTGGAACCGTTGTGTGCAGTCTACTACCGTTACGCCGCAACGCCTGAATAAAACTGCAGAGGCCTCGCTGCAATGCCCAACATCTAGAACAGCCTCAGAATGCACCCGGCAACCCTCTGACATATCTAACGTGTCTACCCTCCCGAGCCGTCGACAGGCTTGCTCTGCGATCAGAGCGTTGAAGGACAGGCCACGCGGCCAAGAACTCAAGCCGGAACACCAACAGATAATAGAACGGCAAGGGGTCTCGGGCTAGGGCAAACACCATTAACCCACAAGAACATCTGGCATATTCTGAAGCCGCTAGCCTGAAAGGCAATCCCTTCGAGACTTGGGTCCTTTCGCCATCACCTATCTCCCTCTTCCCTGTCATTGTGCCGCTTCTCCCAACGGTCACCGCAGCCGCTCGTTGCAAAATATGTCATCGGTCAGCCGTCCCTCGCGTCTTCTCTTCTCTCGCTCTCCGAAACGTCCACTCTGAGCCACCCCGTTGTACGAGCCTGGTTGCTAGGGTGTCAAGGATTGAAAGAAGCGAAACCTCCTTTCGAACTGGGGCGACGCGCCTCCACAAGATGCGTCGAGTAGCAGCAGGTTCCCAGCCTTGCACAAAAAAGCGGTTGGCCTGACTGTGAAGACCTCGACCTTCCCTACAAGAAACCATGTTAAGGCGTCAACATAGGCTAATGTCAGCCAAGTACTGGACACCAGTGCTCGTTGCTCCGCGAGAAACCATGTCAACGGCGTCAACATAGGCTGTTGTCGTCAGCGAAGTACCGGACACTGATGCTCGTTGGTCGCGGCACCCTACTAGTCTTCCCTCCTTCCGACCGACCGCATCCGATGTACCGCCCGCCGTGTCGGCCCCTTGTATCCGCATCCCTCCTGCACAAACAGTCGCCGACCGGCCATATGACCTTTCCTCCTGCAACAGTTGTCCACCCTCCCCCCGAAGAGCACCTCGCTGATCCGCCCGGCTGTTGTCTGCTTCTCAATTTTCCTTACCTCAGAAAGCCATCCTTGGTCTTCAAGTTAGCATGCTTGCCCCGGAAACAACAAAAAAAAAGTGTCCGTCGCTGCAAATATTCAAATCATGCCAGGTCAGCGTCCACCCCTGCCCGGCCGTCTACGTCTGCTTCATGACCGGCCGCGTCCTCCACCCGCCCCGTGACCGACCGCCTCCTTCGCGATTTTCGCGACAAGGCCTCGAAGGCACGTGTAGGGGCACAGAACACCGTGTCGAGCGCTCTCGATCGAAGCCACGACGAAAAGGTTCTAACCCATTAAGGGTACGCCGAATGGCGGGTGTACCCTTCGTCATCCTGGACATCACGAGGAGGCCGACGCCTTGCCGCATCACGTGGAATGTCACCTCTACCCCCCCGCCCTCTTCCTCTGGCAGGCCTGCCCCCCCGTCGCACCCCACCGGACGGCGATGTTGGCCCTAGAGCACCAGTGATGTTCGAAGGCATCGTGATGGAAAACCTGGTCGATGGATTGTCAGCACCAGCGGGAGCAGAAACGGGAGGCGGCTGCTGCAGGGAGCCCAGACGCGCCGTCACTGTGAACTGAGTCTTAACGGGCCTGGGAGGGTCTTCCATGAACTCTTCTTTCACCATGCTGTCCCACCCAGCTGAGCCATTGGGACTTGATGAACAGTCAGCGACATATCTTCCTTCTCGGCGAGGCACGCCACCGCTACCGGCGTTGTAGAGGTCACCTCGAGGCGCGCCACCATAGCTTCGCGAGTGGTCATCTCGAGAGAAAGCGCCAGGGTTGTCAGCAGGCGACGACCAGCCGTGGCTGACATCGTCGCTTCCCCGCCTGCCACCGCCGCGCCTGCCAGAGAACATGCCGCGTTCGCCTCCGCTGTCCTCGCGCCTTCGCCGGTCGCTCCCTCTTCCACGGCTGGTCTCTCGCTCATTGCGGCTCTTCTTACTTCTTCTCCCATCGAGTTTGGAGTCTCCACTTTCGCTTTCATACCGGCGTCCTTTCACCACCGGGCTGACATCGTCTCGATACCGACGCGCTTTCCCAACCGGGCTGGCACAATCGCGACTCCGGCGGCGGTAATGAGGTCGCTCGTCGCAAGCAGAGCTTCGCCCGTGTCTGTCACCTTTGTCATCTCGCCGGTAATGAGATCGCTCGTCGCCAGCAGAGCTTCGCCCGTACCTGTCACTTCTGTCATCTCTACGACTGCGCGGGCGGTTGGTTGATCGAGAATCACGGCACTGCCTAGAACGTCTATCGAGGTGGTGCCCGCGAGAGCCGCGGCCTGGTACACTCTCAAGGCTCTCCCTCCTTGGGCTCCCACTGTGTCCCCTTCCGGGCTGCTGGACAGCTTTCCGACTGGACCTGGATACTCTTTCATCGTTATTCTCAAAGCCACCACTGCCGCGGGGGGGACTGCTCCGGTGGGAGCTACTTCCACGCCCCCTTTTCCTCGCATGTGCCGAGATCGGCGATGCATCCCGGCGTGAGCGTCCACGGGATGAGACAGGTGACGATCTCCTCGAATCGTTGTGTTCACGGTCGCTGTTCCTCCCAAGCGGCTCCTCTCGCCACGAGCTGCTGCCACCGCTGTTTCTGCCACCGCGGTCTCTTTTGCTATCGCCCCCACCACTATCGCGGCAGCCTCCGCCGCCTCGGCCATTAGCCCGATGGCTGTGAGATTCGTACTGGTACCCACTCCGACGGGTGTTGTCTAAATTGGTAGTGGGAGTCGCTGGGGAACGCATCCGACCAGCCCCATTTCGTAGTGCCGGCGGACTAGGAAAGGCCTGCGAGGAAGTGCCGCCTCTAGCATGTTCCTGACGATCCACGTTTCTGTCGCTGGTTGCTCCTGGCTGCGGCAAGACTTGCCCTACCGCGCTGATTACGCCGACCTCGTGTTCCGGTTGCCACGGCATAGCGACACCGACTCCGCTTGCCGTGTACGCACCGGTAGGGTCTGGCTTCAGGTCTTCTTGGGCTCCGGGACCGGAGCGTCGGTGCATCTCATCCCTGTGAACAAACGTCAGGGTAGGAGACTGCTCATGGTGGGCCAGTAATGAAACCCTTCCTTGCCCGGAAGGGTTTGGCTCTACTCCAGTCCTCGAGGACAACGTGGGTGCCACCGCACGGCTGGGGATAACCGACGGGGGCTTAGGCAACCGGGCGGCGAAGCCTGGCCCGCCAGCACCCTCGTGGGTGCTTGCGGCCGCTCTCGGGTGACGCGGCCGCTGCTCATGGCTGAAGCCGCAGTTATTCCCGAAAATGCAGCCCCTGCCCAGACTGAAGAAACGGCAAGGCATGGCCTTCCCGAGAGTGTCGTTGAAGCCAGACTTGGTCTGTTTTTCGTACCACGTCGAAGCCCTGCGCATGCTGTCCGCGTAGATGCGCATGTTTTCCCGGGACATGAGGGCTTGATATTGCTCCTCACGCCAGATCGCCGCCGCCAGGGGAAGTGGGGCGGCTCCGGCGCGGTCAGTAGCTTGAGGACTCACGTGGGGCACTACTTCGCCGTTGAGTCCAGTCACAGCGCGCGTGGCCTCTTCCAGCGACTTCATGTGAACGAACACGAAACCCTGCACAAAAATAAGGCGAGGGTAGGGGAGGGAAAAGAAATTTCGAGACAGGCAAGTACAACACCAATAACGCTGAAATGGAAAGCGTACCTGGGAGCACCAAGGCAGCAACGTGCTTCAGTCAATTACAAGGGAGCGAGCATCAAGAGGACGATATTCAAACAAACTTGTGGTTCCACAGGTCTTCGGGTCTTCAGCGCTTTTCGTCTTTCATCCCATTGCCAAAATATTGATTATTCTCGATGATATGCCTCCCTCATGCGTGAAGGACAGATCTTACCGTGTGTTGCAACAAACGTTCAATGCATTCACATTTATCCTTGTGAAAATGCCGCAGCCGTTCGCCTATCTGCCTCTGAGCACGAAGGGGGCTTCATGTCAAGCAAGAGAGGGGGCGCACGGAGTCGGAGCCTACAGCGCACGCGATGGCGTGTAGACCGTTGCTCTTCTCGTACGAACTTCACGAAAACGTGCGGCAAGAGAAAGCACGTCCATACCTGTGCACCACAGGCCAGCAAGGAGAAAGAAACTGCACCTCCACAAAAACTCAAGTGCCATGGACAGAACCCAAAACTACCGTAAGATAGACAAAGGTGAGGAGGGAAGCCGTAGCATACCCAGAGCAGCAAACTTCAAGCAATTGAAAACTCATCTTCACCTCCAACACTTCGATCTTCCCAACAACGCCGAATGTAGAAACCAGCGCATGTATCCTCCGCTCAGGAACAGCCGGGTGCGTCCCTTTGATCATGAGTCGAGCGCCTTGTGCACGCACAAGCATCGGAGGTAGAGGCCGCAGAGAGAAATGCGGCGGCAGCAACGCAGGAGCGGGGTGGGGAGGAAAACGTCGAAGTTGTCCGACACCCTCCTGACTGCCTCCGCCTCCGTCTCCAATGAGCCAATCTCCCGCCATTGGGCGGCCGTTACCCTCTGAGTACCCACCTGCGCTACCTGTAGGTCCTGCTCCTGCGTCGTTCAGCTTTCGAGGAAGGTCGAAATTGGAAGGGAACCCACCGCCACTGCCCACCGTGCCCTCAACCAAGCAGCGGGTCCCAGACGACGAAGCTAGCGCAGGAACGGGAGCTCCGCCTAGAGCAAGAGGAATCACATGGTCAATCGCCGGCCTGCCCCTTGCTGCACCCGCCACCGGGGGAGCGCGTGTGCCGCCCAGGGCGAGAGGGATCACTGGATCCATCGTCTGTCCTCCCACCGCCCCCCGGCCGACAGCGCTACGGCCGTTCTCCTGGCCCTTCCTGGCTTCTTCCGGAGTACCACGGAGAGGTTCGGTAACATAGCCCACCAGAGAAGCACTTCTTCCACGTCGGCGTGAGGCCCCGATGCAACCTCCCTGGCGGCCTCCGTCACCAGGCCTCATTCCATCTGGTTCAGGTCTCTCCAAGCTACGCTCTCTCGTCGCCTTCCTGGACGAAACTGCATGCGAGAGCATGTCACGATCGCGACGAGCAGCCGGGCGAGTGCTCCCGTGCGTTCCGCGAGGATCAAACGATACGTTGAGATGATCACCACAAGAGCGATTGGTAGGGCCGGGCTTGGCAGAATCATGACGGCCGACGCGACGAGGCGGGCTACGCCTGGGCGAGGTCGTGCGCCTAGATGGGCTGAGGCGCCTTGCTGGGCTACCGCGCCTGCAGGGACTTCTACGTGGGCTTCGGCTGTGCGATCTATGCCACTTCCCGCTGTTCCGGCGCGAGCTACTCCTACGTCGCGGGATCGTGCCTCTGCATTCGCCGCGGCTACCACGCGGGCTCGATTCCCTGCTGGAGGGGATACGCCCCCGACGCCGCTGCTGTGGACTGTGGCGTTCGTGAGGGCTGAGCCGACCCGCCGTCCGCGATGATTTACGCACACTCGGGGAGGAGCGCGACGCTCCGTGAGTCGGACGAAGGCTCTCGTCCTTCCGGTGTCCGCCCGACACCCCTTTGTCCCAGCTGCGGCTACGGCTACGGCTGCGGCGGCGAGGGGGAGGGCTCCGACTCCGGCTCCACTCACCCCGGCCTACTCTTGCATCTCCGTCCATTCTCGAACGTGTAGGTGCACCGACAGCGTCAGGACGAGAGCGCATGGATCCCACGCTGTTGCCGAGCGGGTCCAATGTGGGTCGAACTATTGCCGATCGAGAGCTGTGTCCCGCCCCGCCAGGGGGACCTTGGTCTGGTTCATCGCAGGTGCCGCCCCGTCCCCAAGGGCTACGTCCGCGAGAACGGCTGCCTTGATTCCTTAGGGCACTGTGGTTGACGAACGTCCGGGTAAGTGGTTGGGTGCTCCCTCGATCGCCCACACTGTTAGGACCCGTCGCGGCGTCCGAGTTGCTGTCCTTTACCGCGGATTTTTCTTCCAGTCGGATCTCTCCGTCTTGCCCATGGCCGTATAAGCCGATGCCATATAGCCCACTACCTGTTGTCAACAGTGCGCGGAGCTTTGTGTCAAATGCAAGGCATAACAGCGGCGGCGGGGGGCAGGGAGGGAGGAGGAAGGGAGTGAGACGGGGCGGGTGGCCAGCGGTGGCGAGTAGGAAGCGAAGGCACAGGAAGACCGGCAGATTGTTACCCTTGTTGCCATACTTCATGTCGAGACCCAGCACGTGCTAGCACGTGAAACACAGTCGTGAATGACTGCGTGATTGAGAGGATTCCAACGTGCGGTTATTCATTCAATGTGTGCGCAAAGTTATCTGCGTACAAATACCCACAAGTTGCCCTGCATCGACGAAAAACCACGCCCGCAACGACTCCTAATTGCGCTCTTTTTGTCTGCGGGCAGAAGAACATAGTGCGAAGGTGCATGGAAGCGCACGCAAAGCAGAATACACGAAACGAAGACCGATACGAAGTCCGGTACGTGGGTAGTGTATCTGCACGCCCCAATATATTCGGGGGAGTTTGCGAATCTCAGATATGGATAGCCAGCACACGTATGCGAACTCCATATCGCAAACCACACCAACCATTTTCACCAACACCGATGGCATAATTGCCGGATTGTACTGCCGTGAGCCTCTTATCCATATTTAGACCCACACAAAGGAAACTACAGTATCTCCGCAGCAATAACAACTGCTCTATTCAGGATAAAAAATAGAAGTCGACTCCAAAAGCCAGAGCTTCGCCGGCAACAGAGCCTTGGATGAGCATTGCGAACCTATCCATAGGAGATGCGGCAGGAATGAAAAAAAATGAGCGGACAGACCATTCCGAGAGAGAGGAGACAATATTCTAGATGTTGAGTAGATTCGGCATGCGAGGAGTGACAAACCCTGCATATCCACGCGTCTACACAAAAAAAATATGCATATCGAAACGGCCAAGCAATCACATCTTAGCTCACTTTCTTCCCCTGCAGGTTCAAAACCCGCTTGTGGCGACGCTTGAAGAGCTTGGCAATGGAGCTCATCTCGCACCGGCCGCCGCAACTCCGGAGCATGGCCTTGAGCTCTTCGCTGACGCGCTTCCGAAACATGCCTTCCGACTGCCCCCCCCAATCCTCTTGCTTTCGTCCGGCCTCCACTTCGACCCTTCCGACGGTGATGCCCACCTTGGGCTTGGAAACCTCCTTCCCAGCCATTCCCTCCGTAAAGGCGTTCCCTGCTGGCTCGTCAGAGGCAACAGCAGCACCCGGGGCAGGATTGCCAACATTACGGGGTGCGCACAGTGCGCCCGATAGTGCGTCGTCCAAGTCACCCTCCCCCTCCGCGCTGCCTCGCTCCGACAAGGTCTTAGCCGAGTCCCGAGCATTTCCTTCCTCCTGTTGTTTTACGGCAACTGCTGAGGAAGATTTCGGCGTCCCGCTCGGCACAGATGGAGCAGGGGCAGCAGCAGGGGCAGCAGCAGCAGCGGGAGCCGCAGGGGTAACGGCAACGGCGGGAGCAGTGGCAGGAGCGGATACAGCATCACCATTACCAACGCTCGCTGCTGATTGAAGTGCGTCAAAGCCGGACTTGGGTGTGGTGGGCGTCGACGAGGACGGCGCCGGCGACGGTTTGCCAGAGTCGTTGGTAGGATCCGTGCTGAACGCTTCCGTCTTGATAGAGGCCTTGTTCCGGGAAGCTACGGTCTTGACGGAAGTTTCGGCCTCGAAGGAATCTTCGGTCTTAATACTCTGGGGGCCCGATATTATGCTCTCGGCAGTATCCGGACCTAGGACAACATGGCGGAACGGAGGGAACGGAGGGAACGAAGAAACGAGGGATGGATCAGTTGAGCGAGCGAAGAAACATGAGCGATGTAAGCAAGGTTGGCTGCGACATTGCTATTACCACCGCCGTCACGCCAATGTATGTTGCCAACGAGGAAAAGCAAAAGGTAGGCAGCTGCAAACGATTGTAATCAACAACGCTAGACATGTCCAGGCCGGAGCCACGTGACACCAATCGTCGCCATTCTGTTCTTCCGCGGGGCCAACTTGAAGGAGTCGGGGATTTTGTTTGTTGTCTTGGCTGCGAATAAGCGCTGACAGCGCATGTGCCGGTCACTCCAACCCGTGGTCACACAGAAGGGTTCCTTTCCCTGAGGTCCCCTACCCACCCCGCGCGGGATGCTTTGCCTTCAATGTTCAATGTGAGAAGAGTGCAGCACTGCTCTTCCCGCTTGTGTATAACCGAACTAGCGCTTTCCACTCAGGCCAGGAACTGAAGCGAGAGAAAAACTCACTTTGCAAGAAACTCTCGCATACGCCGGGATTCGAACGCCTGACTCTGGTCACTAAAGAGATTTCAAGGATATCAACCACACTACCGGGGCTACCCCACGCATGTGGAACGACACGCATGCCGTAGTCAATCTTCGAGCGTAAAGCGAAACTGCAACATTCGGTAAGTCACATCTACCACCCCACGGGCAATGTCAAGACCCTTGTAGAGCCAAAGCTTCAATGTCATCCCCCGGGGCTCCATAATCATATCTTGGTTGCTACTATGCCTAATCTAGTGCCGGCCCCTCGAGTACTGAGCTAGAAAAACACACGATATGTAGGCCCCCTTCTACTATTGTTGTGAAATGGCTGCACGCAGTCTCTCCGAGGATTCCTGCTTTGGGATATAGAGCGACCGCGTAGTGATGTGTGTCTTGTGAAAAGGCCTGCAACTCTGTAGATTGGCGTTCGCAGAAGCTCTTCAAAATAACGTCAAAGCTCGACATGGAGATCACGGCGACAAAACGAAGAGAGAACAACCGTTCCGTTGCAGGATGCCGTTGTTTCTCCCACACAGCAGCCTAGAAAACTGGGTAGCACTCCTGCTAAAGTATGTGAGGCCGGTCAGGTACGGAGGATAGCCGCATCCAGAGCCAACTCTAGTGATTTGACCGCGGCTGCCAGTACCGTTTTCTTTGCTACACAAGCGGGGCGGTTTTGCAATAAGGCAAGCTTTTTCGGCGGCAAGCAGCTTCGTTTGTCGGCGGTACTGCCTTCGGTGGTCCCGCTCCATAAATCACCAAAATATGACGGCAAAAAAACCTTCAGGGTGGCCCTGGTCAAAAAAATGTTCCTTCGAAAACTCGAATCCGAACTTGGATTTTGATTTTTGATTTCGGATTGGCTCTACACAGCGCAAGCGGCGAATCGAAAACGAAAATCAACCAGGAAGAGGCGAAAAACGCCCGTACATGACCGTTGCGATGATTCAAACCATGACCGCGAGAGCCACACGGCATCCAAGACAGCGACCGATAGCTCCGCAAAACGCCCATGTTCAGAAGGGTTGGGGGGTATCCGTCTCGCATCGGTACGCTGCGAACTCAGCGAGCAAATTGCAATTGAATTCTGCGTGCTGATGTAGGAAATGCTAAACAGCCGCCGTTGAACTGCATAGACAAAGACAGAATTTCACGGCGATGACACTCCTCTCGACGTATAACAGATTTCGCTCCAATAAAGTATAGCCTTCTGACAAGCCCCATTGCATCGCCAAGCAGTCTGTAGGTGGCTAGACGAGAATCGAAATGAAGGCATGTACGATTCTGGAGGGTGTGGCAAGCCAGCTTGATGTTCCGGTTGGCACTTCCGATTTTCGATGTGGAGTCTGTTCGTGCTTGCTTTCGATTTTTCCGGCGGCGGGACACTGGAGCAATGTCCTATCAGTGATATTTTTTTTTCGATTTTCGATTTACGATTTACAATTTTCGACGAAAATGTGTCTGACAAGGGCCACGCTCAAGCGCTGAGTAGCAACCGCGAAAGCGCGGCGGTATTGGAACACGGCGGCACCCCCTTCGGCGGTCTCGGCAACACCACAGCAAATGGCGATTATGTTCCGGTGGTGAACGCTCAGAGTTTTTCTGGCGGCAACATGAGGTAAAACGATTTTCCCATGATGTGAACTAACCTTGTACAACATACAATGCGCTCTAAGCTCATTGTTTGACCGTACCACACACGCTGGCATGAGTCGGTCTGGTATGTGGTGGGTAGGTGTGTGCGCGTGTAGGTCCTTCCCGAAGATAGCGTGGGTTTGAACCTTAATTTTGAAACCCAGGTATGCACAACCATAAATGTAACGTAACACCTGTGAGTTTACGAAAACATTGTAAAGCAAGTCGACCAATATCGTCGGCGTTGGTAGTCCCAAGCTCGCTTTTATTGTTGCCTTCCCGGGTTACCGTACAGTGGTATTCTTCAAGCATCCTTTGTGGTGAACCCTCCACACCTTTCAAAGCAGCTGCTAATGAAAACAAGAAAGGTTACCCGGTGCGACGGCAAGAAAGGTTACCCGGTGCGACTGCAAGAAAGATATAGGATGTTCGGCTCGAGGCGTTGATGTATGCACATGTTTTCAAATAAATCCACGACGCTATCGATTTGAGAGCTGAAACTTTTTGATCGAGTGTTTCGATGTGGACAGTACCAAACACACGAGGAAAGAAGAATAACAGGTGGTTCGGTGTCACGCAGAAAAACACACAAATATATGCTGCTGTGACCGAGTTTCAAAGGAAATAGCAGCACGTTCGTCCTGACGGGTCGCCACGTCAAAAAAATCTTGCTAGGAACAGAGGGCACTTGCGAGACGACCTGTTTCCCACAGGAGAGAAGAAATCGCTGTATGCTGCTTGAATAACCGTCAAGACGATTTTAGCCGATGCTAATAATGAATTGCTTATCTATCTCAGACTCATCTGTGGAAGAGAATGTATGCAAATGTTTTGTGTCACAAGCAAGAAAATTTACATCAATACTACATCCCAGTACAATCGAACTGCTATGAGGAGGCATATGGTTTCGATATTTTATTCCGTCCTGAACAAAAGGCAGTGTCCATTTACCTTCAGGGGCCAATAACCCACCATCCCCGGGGTCAAGGGAGGCGATACATGCCCCAAACGACGCGCCTTTGGCAAAAGGTGTAAGATTACCACAGGACAGCATGATAAGCGACAAACTCCAAGTCATACCAAAAAAAAAAAAATCGATTGCTCATAACATACCCCGGAACTGCGTGGCGTGAAGCTATCGATTTACCC